TCCCATATGGCTGACTGCGGTTCAAGTCCTGGACCTGGCAGTTTCCTTTTCACCTTTCCTTTCTCTCTCTCTCTCTGGTCAAGTTAAAATAATAAACTAATAATAATAACAAATGGAATTAAATAAATAAATATTTCTTTTAAAAACAAGAGACAAAACTGTAAAATATTCTTTAAAAAGGAAAAAAAAAAAAGCCAGCAAATTTGGGAACACACCAAATAAATCTTCTAGAAATTATAAATGTTTTAAATTTAAAATACACTGATTAAGTAAAAGCAATTAGGTACAGTTGGAGAAAACTGATTATCTGGAAGATATTGTAGATTCAGAATGCATCAAAAAGAGATGAAAAGAAGGGAAACGCAAGGAAGATAAATAGACAAAGAATAAGATGAGAGGCTTGAGGTATAGTTAATGGCATCCCAGAAGAAGAGATGAGAGAAAAGGAGAAAGAGGCAACTGTGAAGAAATGACAGCCTAGAGTTTTTTGGAACTGAAGAAGTTACCCTCAGATCAGGAATCACAATGACTCCCAGGACGGTAGGTCCTTCTGAAGGACTCTGATCATGGCTAATAAAGTGGAAGACGTCCCCCATCAGCCTGCACTCCCATTCTGTGTCCTGCAGTATGTCTCACACATGTGAACACAGAGTTGTGTACAAGAATGTTCACTAAAGCACTGATGGTAATGGGAAAAATGGAGACTAAGCTGTTAGCGGTCCAGTGAAAGATAAACCGTGGCTTCTTTTTCCAAAGAATACCACAGAGAAGTGAAAATAATAAACCATAGCTACATATATCCATAACACTGAGTGAAAAAGGAAGTTTCAGGGGACCAGCAGTTAGCGTAATGGCTATGTCGCTGAACTCTCATGTAGTCAACCACGGTTTGAGTCCCAGATGGGTGGCTTAAACTCATGCCGGGTGCATGTGCGTGCATGCCCAAGATCCAAGAGGAGAATGGAGGAAAAGGAATTGCGGCATGGCCATCCCCACTGGGGATAATTTATTGCTTTCTGTCTCTCTGTCTCTCTCTGTCTGTCTGGCAAGTGCACGCGCCCTATAGCAAAACCTCTACAACAAAAAAAGGGAAGTTTCAGGAGGTTAAATAAATTATCATTTGTATATATTTTAAATATGTTTAGAATAATTCTATATATTGTTACAGATACATAAAAATCTAGTGAAAATGTGGAAGCATGCATGACAATGCTTACCTCAGCTTCAGGATAACTACCCCTGGAAGTGAAAACAGGAGAAGGGACTAGAGTAAGGTTAACATATTTCTTTTTATAAAGAGAGATCTGAAGGCAATATGGAAAAATATGACCATCAGTTTAAATTTGGGTAGAACTTCTGATAAGCTATTTCCTACATACTTTGACATATTTTGTCGCTAAGACTTTTTTCTTAAGGAGAGATTTTTGTTGTACAGTGCATGCACTCACCAGAGACAGAGAGAAAGTGAGAAATCACCCCCTCCCCAGGGAATGGCAATACCTCAATCCCTTCTCCTTCATTCTCCTCTCGGGATTTTAGGCACACATGCATACACACCCAGGATGAGTTTAAAGCCACTGGAACCAGGACTTGAACTGCGGTTAGCCATGTGGGAGTCTAGCACCTTAACCACCATGCCACCTGCTGGCCCCCACTGATAAGACGTTTTAAAATTAAAGCTAGATCGTAAGACAGAACAAGAGCAAAGCAGTGAAGATTTCATCGGTATTGATGTTAAATTGATGTCAATAGAGATAGTCATGGTGAGCAGATGGGCTTTGAAGCAAGTCACTTGGTTCCTTGGCCTGTTTCTTTCGCCACAGGTTTTTGGACTAGGTCATCACAGAAGAGCTCTAAATTGACCTCAGAAACTCAGTCAGTCAAGGAAAAAGGCAACACATTGCACATTGTGTTTTGTTTTAAGAATTCTTTTATTTGACTTCATTTATTTATGTATTCATTCATTTTAATTTGACCAGAGAGGGACAGAGTAAGAAAGCAAGAGAGAAAGTGAGAAGGCAAGCCACATCTTAGGAACTCAAATCACAGTTGGCCATATGGGAGTCCAGCACTCTTAACCACCATGTCACTGCTTGCCCCAACACATGGTGTTTTTTAGTTCTCGTTACTGGATAAAAAGAAACATCCAGGGGCCAGCAGGTGGCATGGTGGTTAAGGCAGCTGGATTCCTACATGGTCAACCAAAGTTTGAGTCCCAGAACTGGTGGTTTGAAAATCACTCTGGGCACAGTGGATATGTGCCCAAAATCCTGGGGGAGAATGGAGAGGAGAATGTGATGTGGCCATCTTCCCAGGGGGTGATTTCTCACTTTCCCTCTCTCTGTCTCTCTGGTGAGCAAAGATGTCCTGGGGTCGGGGGCTGATACCTTAAACAAAGAAAAGAAAGAGGAAAGAAAGAAACATCCAAGATCAACTGGGAAGATAGTGAATTTTTATTACTGTTGGGAGACAATTCTCCATGAATTTTTCTCATGCCTGTACAGATTGGGTCTCTGACCAAAGGAGATGTTTGGATAGCAAACAGCCTTGGAAGCTAGAGAAAATTAACCCCTGGAGAGAGCTAGAGATACTGGGACCAACAGTTAGCGTAATAGTTATGTCGCTGAACTCCCATGTAGTCAACGGTGGTTCGAGTCCCAGAGCCGGTGGCTTAAACTCATGGCAGGCGCATGTGTGTATGTGCCCAAGATCCCAAGAGGAAAATGGAGGAGGAGGGATTACGGCGTGGTCATCCCCCCGGGGGGTGATTTCTCACTGCTCTCGGCCCTCTCTGTCTTTCTGGTAAGCGCACGTTCCCTATAGCAAAAACCTCTCCAAACAAACAAACAAAAAAAAAATAGAGATATTTCCTGCAACATGTCCTAGAGAGCTAAAGGTAAAGCTCTTCTTTCTCCCCTGAGACATTTGCTTATTTCCAGAGTACCGAACGTTCTTTCGCTCTCTCTTCAAAGAGCAGACTGGGCAGATGTGCCCATGTCCCTATAAGAAGCTCAGCTTCCTGATTTCAGGGCTCCTCTTTCTTGTGATACAACCTGCTACAGGCGCAGGTAACAACATCTGGCCCTTATCACACTGCCCTGTGGGGATTAAGCACAGGAACCAACACAAGATACTGTGCTGTGGATTTTGCTTTGAATAATAGTCTGTGTCCCTGACCCGAGGGTCTTGTGTCTCTGTATGTCTGTGAGTAACTGTGACAGGCGAATTGTTAGCTCACGTGCAATGTAAAAATCTCAGACCCTTCACAGTAATGACCTAGCAAAGAAACAAAAATACAGACTCCGAATAGCGTAGTGGAGAATCTTTAGACATAGTTTCATAATAAAAATACATAAATATTTTCGAAAGGTATTTCTTATAACACTTCTCTATAAAACTGTGGGCTTGACATTGCAAGGAAAGAAATGACAAGGCAAAACATTAGCGTGAGAACAGTATTCCAGGGGGAATTGACGGTAATATGCTCCAGCTATGTTTCTTTTTGATGTTCTAAAAATACGGGAATAGTTCTTAGAGAAACCAGTGGCTAGTAGTCACAAACCCTTTTTTAGTTTTGTAGACTTCAGATATAATAAGGGCCCTTTTATAAAGGCAGTTCTTAGGCAATTCCCTTTGAACTCTGATGGCTTTTGGAAATGTTAAAATCTTTGATTGAAGAGAGACTCTTGTGTAACAGATAGTTGCTGGCTTTGGTCATCCAGCCTCCATGTTCTTATTTTCTTAACACGACTGTGATTTTTGTCTGAGGATTCTCTTTGCGCACACTCTCAGGTAGTATGATCTGGATGACACTCCAGCCCCAGCTCTGGGGACAACAGGCAATCTAGTCTGGCCCACCAGGGCCTCTGTCTCCCTGGCTTAGTGTTAAGCACTGCAACTTCAGCTATTCCATGACGAACTTGAGGACTTTGCCAGGAAT